GAGGACGTGGAAAAAAAGGAACCCTCATACACTGCTGGTGGGACTGCAAATTGGTATAGCCACTATGGAAAGCAGTATGGAAGTTCTTCAAAAAACTAAGAATTGATCTACCATATGACCCAGCGATTCCTCTACTGGATATTTACCCCAAAGACTTGAAAACCCATATCCGAAAAGATTTTGCACATCGATGTTCATAGCAGCATTATTCACAGTGGCCAGGACAACAACCCAACCGAAGTGTCCTACAGATAGATGACTGGATAAAGAAGCTGTGGTACATATATACAATGGAATATTACTCAGCCATAAGAAGAGATGAAATAACTGCCATTTGCGACAACATGGATGGACCTCGAGATAATCATGCTAAGCAAAATAACTCAGAAAAAGGCGAAAATCACATGATATCACTTATGTGTGGGATATAAACCTAAAAGCAACAAATGAACAGGACAAACAGAGACACATGGACATGGACTACAGACTAGTGGTTACCAGCGGGTAGGGGGTAGGGGAAGAGCAGGGAGATGTACAGGGTAAAGGGGGTCAAATATTTGGTGACAGAGAGAAATCTAACTATGGGAGGTGAACACACAGTGTAAACATATATATGCCTTACTGTTAAAGAGTACAGCTGAAACTTATTGGATTTCGTTAACCAATTTCACCATAAAAATAAATAAACTAATAATTAAAAAACAATACAAAAGTTCAGAGTAAATACATTGGAACGAGTCTCAAGGACTATTATCTGTTCTTTGTAAACTGACCTATATGCTTTGAATTTAGAGAAAAAGTACTCTTAGAACTCATCTCCAAAGTCACCTTCACTTCTTTAATTAACAAAGTTCTATACGACATGCCTAGATTTATACAAAATGAATTTTAGTTTCCTGTAGCATAAGAAGTTTTACTCTTTGGAATAATTAAAGAAGCTCACCTTGCATCAGAAGCAAAGTAATACTCCACCGCTTTTTCTTCAACAGGGAAAAGGCAAGTTGTGCTGTCCACACGAGAGAGATTGCAGCTTCCTTTCTTATCTTTGCCTAGAGCACAGAGTTAACAGAATCGGCAAACATGTAGAAAACCATATCCAATATATAAATATACATAATTTTCTACAAAATCAACAAGAAAAATCATAGCGACACAAAAATAATTTCAGCAATTTTTAAATGCCAGGTAGATCACCTTATTTCCATGCATTTAGCCAACAAGAACAACAGACAAAAAGTGTAGAGTGAAATGGCAACTAACAAAGAGGGTGTGGCAGATAACAGGGCTACAATATTAATATTTTTAATATATTTCTTTTCCAGGTGAAAGGCAAATAATTCATGAATCACTCTTTTTTAATCAAAAGTATGTATAACTTAATCTTAATTTAACTATACAAAATTTGATGGAATTAATATGTTTGAATACCTAAACTTATCATAAAAATTACATTTAAAATATCAAAATTGTGCAATGAAAAATAAAATGAAGATTAGTGGCACAGTGATTTTTATTATTGTATAACAAAGTTTCTCTAGATTTTAACAGTAAATCAGCATAACAGATCAAGATGTAGTCTATAGTAATTGTAATTTAAAAACAAAACAAAGGTACTTGTAACTCTCTATACACAGTATATCATATGTGGTACCTATTAATAAGGAATGAAAATATTATAAACCCACAACCTCTATTTCCTTAAAATTTAGTTTTCTAACATTCTTTTCAAGTCAAACAAATTATGGTCCTTTTGCAATTATAATATCCTTTTCATTCTAGCACTTTAGAATTCTGTCATCTCTACTTAATTCGTCAAATCGCTGATGATTTTTTTTCCTTTCTGCTCAATCACAACTAAAGTCAACACTGGAAATCATACTAAAGTTTGACGAATTAGCCAAATACAAGAGGGGAAAATCTATTAATTGAAGACCAAATAAACGTCATAGAGACAAAAAAAAAAAAAAAAAAAAAGCGCCTTTCTCCAAGATCAAGACCTTAAAACCTATGGACACCACGGGCAGAGAATACCATAAATATATTTGTAAAACCTTATATTGTGTCAATCCTCTAAAATGCATATCTATAAAGACCTGGAAATAATTATTCTTAGAAACATACATCCAAAGTTCTCCATAATCCATGATTATTCGGTGTGGTTTAGGCATGAAAACAAAACAGCTCTTCCCATCCAAATTCAACTGTAGAAAAGATACCACACTTTGAAAAATAAGCACGAGGTAATACCCTAGAAAAGCTAACACTCCAGAAAGATAAAACAGATCCATGTTTGCCAGAGGTTGGGAATGGGGACAAGGGTTAACTACAAAGTGGCAGCTGGAGGAAACTTTTTAAGGGATGGAATTTTTCTGAATCTTGATTGTGGGGGTGGTGGTTACACAACTGTTTGCATTTCACAGAATTCAAAAAATTGTATATCAAAAAGGGTGAACTTTATTGTATATAAAAAAGTGAATTTAAGAATAGGTAAAAGGACAGCCCAGCATCTACATTTTTAAAATAAATGCTACCAGCTTTGGTTATAAAATGCCCTAATGAGGTTGAGTTTCACTACATTCTTTCTCCAAATATTGGTTATTTCAAGGTATATATAATTACAATGTTTAGAAGAATGTGAGGTATCATTGCCAATTTAAATGAAAAGAATATTACTATTTGACATCTATATGACTCCTACAATTATAAAATGTCTTTCCGTACGTATATTGATTATCTCACTTGATTTGACTTAAGTGGAATACAATTATTATGATCCCACTTTATTTGGTCAGCTGGAGAAAACAGTTAAAGCCTAAAACCCAGTCCAGGTTTCTCCCTTTTACACAGCCTCTTCAATAATAGGACATACTTTTTAAACTAAATTCTGCTGACCAGGTGCTGTAGGTGTAAGGAATGAATGAATGAATGAATGTACGAACGAACAAACGAACGAATGAATGAACAAATGAATAAAATTCTGCTGAGCTGCACACCATCTATCTACTAGGAGCTAGAGAAATAAGAGACACTAAAACACACACCCTGATCTCAAAAAAGATCTGTCTCATGATAAATTTTTCCTCCAACTTCCTAAGACCTTAGCCAAAGTCTTTCTATTGTTTCTAAAAGCAGCCTAAATCAATGTACAAGTAACATAACTAATACATACACTAGCAGAATTGTTAAAAGAACTCTGGATCTAAAAATCTGTATTCTCCCTGTTAGACTCATTTTTCTTCTGAAAAGGGAGGGAGGGGGATGAGGAAGATAAGAAATTCTAACATCTCAGGATTGAAGGTTATTTAAGGAAGTAACTTTCTGCTACAGATAAAACAGTGAAAGCAGCCATTATCTAAAAATGAATAGGTTTAGAGTATTTGGCTAAACTTTTTTTTAAGAAACTAAGAATTATACAGCAATAACATGGGTTCCAATTATCTGAATTTACTACTCCCAGTCTTTTACACAGAAAGCTTTTAGTAATAAGTAAATGGAAAGAGCAAATTAGCGGTTTTTTGTGTGTGTGTCTAATTATAGCAATAAAATGATCCAGAGTTTGTATAGCTGAAAGTCCGATAAAAAAATAAACTTCAAACATAAATATAAAAAGAACAATAATTCCAAATTAAAACAAAGCCAATCAACATACTGAATATAAATCTAAAAGGAAAATGTCATGCATAAAATAAAAAACATTCAAACCTATGTTAGGCTGAATTATTCAAACTATCACCGAGTTTAATCTATAATAGCCTAGCACACAATGCTCTTTTCCTAATCTTAGCATCTTATTTATAATGTTATCCTACATGATTTTAATTTAAAAAAAGAAAAGAAAAACTTTACAATTTCGATTATTTTTTCAAATCTGAGACTTTAAAGAAACAAATTACTAAAAGCGGTTTCCTAAATGCCAAAAGCAGACAGACAAAATATACTCTGCAAATTAGAAAAATGTCAAAATATGTTTCCCCATAAAATAAGCACATTTTTAGAGGCCCAGCACATTCATTCACTCCAAGAACAAAGAATTAGTAAAGAATGAATAAAAGAGGAAAAGATTCCTCCCCATCCATGCAGAGTGCATTTCCCACCTCTTTCTCCCTGTGATCCCCACCGTGTGAATTTTGATCCAATCTGAGTCCTAGCTATGGACATACAACAGAAAAAAATTCTACTCGTCAGAGAAATCACAAAACAAATCCTTTTCATGTCTAGACAGAACTATAATATGAGTGGATCTGACCAAAGAGGCATTTATTTCAATTTAAGGAAAACAATTCTGTATATCTACTACATTCAATTTACACATTTTCCCTATAGCACAATGTAGGAATACTTTTTACCTGTTCTGTAGAGTATTGGAATGTGATCAGTAGAGAGTTTATGTTCACTTCGTACACCAATCAAGAGAGGGCTACCTCGTCTGGTAGTACAAAATTAAACAGAATTAAACCATTTTTATAAATAACACATTAATGATATAAAATTTAAATGTGATGATGGAACACTCTCCAAATAAAGTTTAAATTCCCCCTCCAAGGTCAACTTCAGATGTAACAAAAGAACAACATAAACAGAATTTTTCAAAAATATTCAAAAACTATAAGAAACAAATGAAAAAATAAGAGTAAAAAATATTCAATAACGGAAGTCAACAAACTATGACCCACAGGGCAGGTCTGTCTATTTTACTGGAACACAACCATGCCCATTATTTTACATATTTTTTTACAGTGGCTTTCATGCTACACCAGCAAAACTGAGTAGCTAGCTGCTACCGAGGCTACATGGCCAAACCTAAAATATATATGATCTGGGCAGTTAAAGAACAGGTGTGCCAACTCCTATTCTATAACAACGCACTTAAAATTTTTTTCCATTTTAATGTTAAATGAAACCTTTCTTTCAATATGTGAACGGTATAGGAACAATTAGCACCTTCTCCTTAGTCAGACTGCTTTCACAGGTAACTCCTACCAAATCTTAGGGCTCTTCACTGTACTAAGGCTCCTCATGATTAGGCTTAAATATCCTAACAAAATAGTGATGGCGCAATTATTTGGGCTCTGTCCAGAATATATAATTCCAAAAATGTGGATAAAGTTAAGTTTTGGGCCTAAAAGTAGAGAATATTCAATATGCAAATTCACAAAGTAACAATGATGCCCCAATATAGACAAAAGGCCAATTATAAATATCAAAATGTATTTGGGATTCTGTTAAATGGAAGAGTGGTAAAACAACTGACAATAAAGAACATATGAAAATATGCTCACATGAATATCTCTAAGAAAGGACAAAGCTTTTACAGTGAAGGGTCATTTATAGTATACAGAGAATAAATATATAATTCCAAAGTTTCAAAATACATATATCATTAGTCATTATTAAATTTATATATACCTTGTGCCAACTGCTTGGCCAGGAAAATGAACACTTTTAAATACAAGTGCAAAAGCACCTTCCTATGGAGGGAAAAAAATGCATTAGCAATATATATTATAATCAGTTATCAAATGTGAAATGCCTAAAACATACTGGCTCTTTAGCACAGAAATTTTTTGTTTCTACAGCTGCTCTTTTGCACTAGTTTATAAACGAGTCTAAATTTTAAGTAGACACTTCCTCCTGAGCTTTGGTGTACTCAAAACCCACTTTTTAACCAAGCCTATTCTTGAAATAGCTCCAAAGCAGACCATTCTAAAAGTCACCTCTGTACATGCTACTAACATTTCTCAATAAATACATCATATCTCCCATACTACACATTAGTAAGGGGAGGACAGAAATCGGAAAGGTCCCAAGTTAATATCCAAAACCCATTCTCGGGCCCAGTAATTTTACAGCACTGTTAACTTACACTCTTTTTGACCTAGATAGTGGAGATAAATACAATCACAATAATTAACATGCACACCATACCACCCCCTCAACCCAACCTTCCAGGTATAGGACCTAAAGAAATCAAAAATGAATAAAGGAGAAACAGAAGGTAAGAGAGGGAAGAAACCACCATAGAACACAAACTCAGTCACACATACAAAGGCTAGGAAAGCTCACTACTCTGCCTTGAGTAAAGGGAAGGAACAGGCCTGTTTTTTCTATTTTCCTGTCTCTTCTTTGCTGTAGACAACATCAGATTGGGTGGAAGTGGGAGGTGAGGGTTGGACCCTCAGAGAGAACTAAAGGGCTTTTAAATGGGAAAACTAGAGTTATGAGTGAGGAAGGAGTGTAGAAATCACTATGCATTTAGACTTTTGTAGATCTTTGATATTTTTAATTAGAGCAATTGGGACGAGATCAAAAAGAATACCACTTTTCCCTTGGGCTGAGAAATAATTTTCCAAAGAGGCAAAGAGCCAGAGAAAAGTCCCAATAAGGAAAAATAAAGAGTTGACTATGCTGACTGAGAGACATGCAGGCATTACCCCAAAATGAAGAGTGCATTTCACTGAAGCTACCGTTGTAAGCTACCGTTGACTGGGAAATAACACTGGAGGAGCAGAAAGCAAGAAAGTGATGAGTCTCCGACTCTGTGTATTGTGTCAATGTTTGTGTGCGGGACGTATGGGTTTCTGTGTGTATGTACAGTTTTTAGACAAACTGTTTCATTTGATATTGCTTTTAATTCTCATGACACTAAGCTACAGTGAAAGAAGTAGAATTTGAAGTGTGTGTGAGGAGGGGTCAATCAGTCAAACAACAGTCTCTCGAAATTATTCAAGTTGAATAGTTACATATATAAGGGAATAAAACCCAAAAATACTTAAAAATTAGCATAGTTCCTGCTTCTCAAACTTAATTTTAAGAGTTCATTGTGATTCATGTTGGCAATAATTATCTTTAAAAGTGTGGTTTAATACCAGTTGTTGGATAACTCTCTCCACCAAGGTAGTAAAACTGATATCTTGACTTTCCCGATTGTCATACATGTACTTAACAAGCTTGGCAATTGTCTCTGTGTCTGTTTCAGATTCAAAGTCATAGCCTTTGCTCTCCTGTAATTAGAAAGAAAAAAACATTACACATTTAAAGAAGTATTCATAATATGCAAATCTTTTCTGTAAAATTTTTCTTCAAAAATCTTGCTAACCAATTTCTCATCTTTTTTGAACACCATATCCCATTATCCACTGTTCAAAATCAAGGTCACCATCTAATTATGTGAACCCAAAATAGTAATTGAACACAGACTTGTAATTACATAAATCTATATATACCACATAGGAATTAAATTTTAAATAATTAAAATATAATGAAATATAAAATACAAAATATTAATTCCGTAATATATACGATGACATTTTATTTAATAATGATATTGTACTGTCCAATACAATAGCCTTTAGGTATACACAGCTTTTTAAATTTAGGTTGATTAAAGTGAAATAAAATTTTAAATTTAGCTCCTCAGTCATACTTAGCCCAAAAGCCACATGTGGACAGTGGCTACTATGATTGGACAGTACAGATATAGGTTTCCATCACTGCAGAAAGTTCAAGTGGACAGCCCTGAGGAGGCGTTCATGAAGGTCATCATCGTGATCATTACTGTATAATAGACAGCTACACTGGACATAGAACCTTCATATAATCTGTCCTTATTCTTCTTACACAGCCCAAAAATGACAAACGAGGTCTCTCACAATGCAAAAGACATTCCCAAAATTCCAATTTTATTTGATCTTCTGGGTCATTCATAACAAAGCCAAATAATTATTTCCTTTTCATGTAAGAAACAAAAATGTTCCACTGTCAACAAAGAAAAGCCCAATAAACCACTAAACCCTTGTAACTGTGTTAGGAATTACTTGATCATACCTGGAAAGTGTTTATTGCACATCCCAACAAACAACCTCACAGCTTCATTAGAAGTACTGTCATCAGACAAGAAAAAAAAAAGGCATCCATGTTGGAAAGAACCAAAACTCATTATTTGCAGATGACATGATACGCTATAGAGAGAACCCTAAACACTCCACCAAAAAACTATTAGAACTGATAAATGAATTCCATAAAGTAGCAAGATACAAAATACTCAGAAATCAGTTGCACTTTTATCCACCAATAATTATCAGAAAGAAAAATTAAGAAAACAATACTATTTATAATTGCACCAAAAAAAATCCCTAGGAATAAATTTAACCAAGAAGATAAAAGACCTGTACTTGAAAAACTAAGACACTGAAAAAGGAAATAGAAGATACAAATAAATGGAAGGTTATACTGTGCTCATGGATAGAAGAAATTAATATTGTTAAAGTGTCATTACTACCCAAAGCAATCCAATCTTTTTTAACCACATACCCCATTCAATGCAATCTCTACCAAAATGCTGATGGCCTTTTTCACAGAACTAGAATAATCCTAAAATTTATATGGAACCACAGAAGACCCCAAATAGCCAAAGCAATCTTGAAAAAGAACAACAAAGCTGGAGGTATCACACTACCTGATATCAAACTATACTACAAGGCTATATTAATCAAAACAGCATGGTACTGGCATAAAAACAAACACATAGATCAATGGAACAAAATAGAGAACCCAGAAATAAATCTACTCCTACATGGTCATTTAATTCATGACAAAGGAGACATGAATACACAATATGGTAAAGACAATCTCTTCAATAAAAGGTGTTGAAAAAACTGGACAGACAAATGCAAAATGACACTGTATCACCTTCTTACACCATATACAAGAATAAACTCAAATTAAAGACTTAACTGTAAGACCTGAAACCATAAATCTCCTAGAAGAAAACATAGGCAGTAAGCTCTCAGACATCACTCTTAGGAATATGTTTGAATATGTCTCCTAGGGCAAGGGAAACAAAAGAAAAAATAAATGGGACTACATCAAGCTAAACAGTTTTTGCACAGCAAAAGAAACCATCAACAAAACGAAAAGACAACCTACTGGATGGGAGAAGGTTTTTGTCAAGGATATATCCGATAAGGCAGGGGTCCCCAAACCCTGGGGCTGCAGACTGGTACCAGTCCGTTGCCTGTTAGGGACCCAGGCTGCACAGCAAGAGGTGAGTGGCGGAAGTGAGTGAAGCTTTATCTGTATTTGCAGCCACTCCCCAGCACCAGCACCACCACCTCAGCTCCACCTCAGATCATCATTCTCATTGGAGCACTAGTCCCTGGTGTCAATATGGAGTTAACATCCAAAATATGTAAGGAATTCATATAACTTAACACTAAAACACACACACACACACACACACAATTTGTTTAAAAAATGGGCAGAGGACCTAATACACATTTCTCCAAAGAGGACATAAAGATGGCCAACAGACATGTAAAAAGAAGCTCAACATCACCAATCATCAGAGAAATGCAAATTAAAACTACAATGAGATATCACTTTGTACTTGTCAGAATGGCTATCATCAATAAATTAACAAACAAGTGTTGCCAAGCATGTGAAGAAAAGGGAACCCTCATGCACTGTTGGTGGGATTGTAAATTGGTGCAGCCATTACTGAAAACTGTATGGAAGTTCCTCAAAAAATTAAAAGTAGAACTACCATATGACCCATCAATTCCACTTCTGGGTATTTATCCAAAGAAATCTAAAACACTAATTTGAAAAGACATATGCACCCTATGTTCACTGCAGCATTATTTAAAATAGTCAAGATATGGAAGTAATGTAAATGTCCACTGATAGATGAATAAATAAATATATGGCATATACATATACAATAGAATATTACTCAGCCATAAAAAAATGATATCTTGCCATCTGTGACAACATGGACGGACCTAGAGGATATTATGCTAAGTGAAATAAGTCAGAGAAAGATAAATACCATATGATTTCACTTATATGTGGAATCTAAAAAATAAAACAAACGAACAAAACAGAAACAAATTCAGATACAAAGAACATTTTAATAGTTGCCAGATGGAAGGGGGTTTGGGGGATGGGTGAAAAAGGGGAAGAGATTAAGATGTACAAACTGCCAATTATTACAGTAGTCACAGGAATGTAAACTACAGCATAGGAAATATAGTCAATAACATTATAACTATGTATGATGTCAGACAGATTCTAAACTTATCAGGGTGACCACTTTATAAGTTATATAAATGTCTAATCACTATGTTGCACACCTGAAACTAATATAATATGTCAACTAACTGAAAATTTTTAATTTTTGGAAGGAAAGGAAGAAAAGAGGAGAGGAGAGGAGAGAAAGGAGGAAGGAGGGAGGGAGAGAAGGAGGGAACAAAGAAGGAACGAAGGGAGGAAGGAGGGAGGAAGGGAGTGAGTGCGTAAGTACTGTCGAAGACTAGTATCTTTTCAGGTCATTTTACTTACCAAAAACTTTTTCAAGTCTTTGTAGTTGGTGATGATTCCATTGTGAATAACAATAAATTCTAAAAAGAAATAAAGGCATTGATGAAAAAAAAAAATTATAAGTCTAGTAAATATTATAAATAGCCATTACTGCTAATAGATTTTTCTCAAGTCAAAAATATGTCACAAGCCATAGTTCAAGGTATAATCAAGTATTATCTACTTTTCATTATCAGATTATCCTCAGGTAGATCAGCAGCAGTTTATGTGGCTTAGTGGAAGCACGCAGTGACAAAGAGGTAGGTATAGTGGGGAAATTCAATAAACCGGCGTCTAAAGACATCAATTAGTAGTTTTGTGGCTAAACTACTAATCTAATGTCACTATGCAAAAGGAGCAAGTTCCCTCAGTCTGTTTCCTCATTTGCAAAATGAGAGGATTGAACTAAATAACTATTATGCTTGCTTCTTTGTCCATTTGTTCTTATGAACAAAGCATTCTTAAGTTTAAAGAGAAAGTCTTTCAAACTAAAACAATCTGATTTGTACTAAATGAGTTTGAGAACCAAAGTTAAAGAAGTTAAAAAGTACCAATGAGCAGTTACAAAATAGTCATGGGGACATAAAATACAACATAAGGAATATAGTCAATGATATTATAATAACTATGTATTATGTTAAGGGGGTATAAGATTTATTGGGGGGATCATTTCATAAGTTATACAAAGGTCTAACCACTATGCTGTACATCTGAAACTAATATAAACAATATTGAAAGGCAATTAAAAAAAAAAAAAAACTAAAGAAGTTAACAGAAAAACCAGTTTCCAGTTCCATAAATAAATTTATTTATCTGAGGTCCAGTCAATTCCTAGAATGTCAGATAGATAAATGTTAAAATAGCATTCCAACATCAAATACATATGACAGTGGAATAATATTCATCTTTTTTTATTAAATAACTTTGAAAAATGTTAAGAATGAGTAATCAAGAGTTAACAATACTATTTGCAGCTACTGACAGTGTATGTAAAGACTATCAAAATGTGAATTTGTTATTTAAAGTTCATGTAAGTCAGGAGAGAAATAACCATTAAATTTAATTTTATATTAAATTATAAAAATGTTTTTAAAACACTTAAAGATCTGACATTTTGGTCTGATGTTAAATGAGCTTGGACTGAATGCATTACAAATCAAATAATAAAATAAACATTTTCACTAGATTTTTAAGATACCACAAAATGCTACAAAAATAAATCTTAAAACTTTTTAATGCTAGAACACAGAGAATCATAAACAGCTGATATCTGACATAAAGCCTTAAATTAAAGCCAAATTCTCAAAATATAATTTAGATATAAGTTTTCAGGAATCTTTTATAAAGGCATGGTCAGAATTAAAAGTTTTGAGAGGCTGTTAGCATTCTAACCTAATTCAACAATTCTGTGAAGCACAGGAACCTAGAAAGGCAGCTTCTGAATTATAAAGTCTTATCTTGAAAGTTGTACACACACACACCACATGTGTACACCTCACAAATTACTTTTGTAGGTATTCGTTAATTTTTAAAAACAGAAGAACAGGCTCTTAACAAATGTGTTAAATGGCTATCTCCAGGGAGAGATGGAATAGGAAAATAAAATAGAAACTATTTTATTTTAACATTCCCTTTTTTACAGGCGTGACCACAGAACTATGCAAATATTTTAAATAGTTTTAAGTAAAATTGATTTTTTAAAGAAAATCAATCCCTAAAACAAAATAAAATAAAGCACATTCCCATAATGCTGTATCTAACTGGTAACACAACCACATAGAGAAGGATTATTCCAAGTGACTGTATAACACAGTAATTTGATTATACAACCCTAGAGAAATATACCCCAGGGACAAAAAAAAATTAACAAGAAAATTTAATGAACAACAGTAAATATACTGTCATGGTAGTGTTGGTATTATGATTGTTTTATGTATATCATGTGACAGATAAATATGTTGCTGGTGTTAAGAACTACGTTTTTAGGTGTGATTGAAAGGAAATACATAGGTTAATGAGGTTAAGTAAAAACCTTAGAACCCTGCATTTGAACTGGAAGTGTTAGTGTAAAATTATGTTGTGTTTTTCTTTAAATTTATACATGTGCACATGCACATGTGCACACAAAGAGGTACATACATCTCCTAGCTCTGTCCACTGAAAAAGCTTAGGGGTGTAAGCTTTTTTTAAAGTCTTTTAAGTATCATTTCCACTAAAAGGAACTATAGCTCTCTTAGAGAAATCATTGATTCCAGGTCTGGGGCAGGATTAGGTGAACATGGAACATTTTGGCCTACCAGAAAATAACAGACTATTGAGCCTAATGGGGTCACAACAAAAGGACTCAGGAGCCAACCTGAATAAGCTCCCCAATGGCCAAGGATGGCAAAATTTGTACATCAATACAGATCATTATTTCTGTATTGTTTTTGAAACAAATTAAATATTTTAAATCCAGGAGTTTATAAAATAATAATTTTTAAAGGAACTCATTGTTCATCTTAGAACATCTGAACCACTTCATTATTGAAAAATGGTAAATAAAAGGGAAAAAAAAAATCAAACATTCATCCTGCCTTTCCTATATATTCGGTACCTCAGGGTAACCGAGCAGCTGCTATGAAGAAGCTTCTCTTTATAGAAGTGCTTAAGATAATAAATGAAAAAGGAATGGTAGTATTAGACTACCATCACTTTAAAACCACTAAAGAAATAATTAATCTTGGCAATGATCATCGATGACTGCTAACAATATAAAAAGAAAAATATCCAACATTATGACAAGAAAAAAAATTCTGAGATGTCCTAAATTAAATTTAGGCCAGAGGCTGGGAAGAAGAGACAGGGAGAGTTAATCAATAAACAGAAGCACAGGCAGAAACAAAAAAAAGACAGCTCTCATTCCTGAATGTATGCTGAAACTCGGAATCAACTTCCGGAGAGTTATTTCAGTTCTTATCTGGAGAAAATAGCCAACCACCAAGCACCACCTCATCCTGCTTACACAAACTGTCCAAACTGTTGCCCACGACCAATCCAAAAGCAGGAAACACTTCTTCCTTACTATATACCTATCCCAGAACTAGCCCCACGTCACCTATTCCCATCTCCTTTATCTACGGTTAATGTAAATTCTTTCAAAACAACTTACATACTCTCTAAACTCATGGTATAAAAGAGCCCCGTCAATCCCAGGATAATAGACACGTTTGTCTTCTTCTAGCCCTTCTGCTGGTGGGTTAGACTGTATGTGCCAGGACTCGGTCCTTTTTCTAGCTAGCATGCAGCTCGATAAACTATTTCAGAAAAACTTTCAACCTCGAAGTTCATTGTTTAACAATTACATACCTCCAGATGTAAACAAACACCGTACCAATTTATAATAGAAGGGACAGAGAAACATGCTAAATGACCTATGGGATACATCCAAGTAACAAAATCTAAACTGTATAAAACTCTATAGGACAAACACCAGAATAAACTGCAAGGAAGAGGAGAGAAAGGGAGAAGTCTCTCAAGAAACTTAAGAGATATATCAATCCGCTAAGTCTTTATGTTTTAGAGACACACACTGAAATATTTACAAACTGAATGCTATGATATCTACTTATTTGTGACATATCTATCTATATGATACCTATTGGTTTCCGAAATAGTCTGGATGAGGTGTAGAGATGAACATAACTGATAGTGGATTGATAAATGTTGAAGCTGGGTGATGAATACATCAGGTTCTGCAAATTCTCTACTTCTGAATATGTCTGAAATTTCCCAGACTAAAATTATGAAAACATAAGAGCTTCCATTCTCCTACCACCAGCCCTCTATAATCATTCCAAAGCATGTACAATCTGTCCATACCATTATTTTTATCAGAGCGCTGGGGATGGCTATTGACAGGACTGGGTTCGCCATGTGTTGCCCAACGGGTATGAGCTATTCCAAGGTGTACGTCAAATTCTATATCCAAATCCATATCCTGTTGTTCTGAAGAAGATAAAATGAAAAATTCCAATATTAAATCACATGGTAGAGAAAGTGCTATAAGCTATATTTAAATATAATTATTATAGTGCTGCTCACCTGGAATACACGATTATTAAAAAAACTAAAGATCACACATATGCAAAATAGTAATTAAAAGACTTAGAATTAGAAGAGTTAATGCAGCTGAAATATTTAGGGCAAATGGTTCCATTAACAACTGAAAAAATGTATTCAAAGAAATAAACTAAATGTGACAACTGGTAAAGCTAGATGAAATACATGGGAGCTTAATGTACTATTCTTTCAACTTTTCTAGAGGCTTGAAAATTTTCACAGTCAAGAGTTAAGGACAAAAGGAGTTAATGTAACTTTTTAAATCTATATTTAATCCTTGCCCTGAAAAAAATCAGTATCATTTTAATTAAACATGTAAAAATAAATTCATTTTCTCAATACCACATAACCTTGTGACTACAATTTCCTTTGTCCCTGGTAAATGTAAACATATCTCACAATATAAACTGCAATTATGGAAAGCATCCAAAATCAATGAATAGGTCCTTGTGAACAAAGCAACACAATGCAAATATGGGGTTAGAGACTGATGCTCTTTGATCTTGAAAAGCAGCCATCCTAATTCCTTTTCCCTATGAACTATCTCTTCTTGCCTCTTCCAAAAAAAAAAGACAGTTCTAGTTATTTACTAGTAACACCTTCCTTCTAATTTCCTAAATATCAAATTTATTTGGCTAAAATAGAGTTTATCAGATAACAAAGCTGATTAGGTCTAAGTTAAGAATAAACTGCTCAGAAGACTGAATAGGAAAGTCCATGCACTTTAGCACACAGTCTTTGTGGTTCGTATACTAGCTAATCAGAGGTCATTCTAAAACACAAATCTAATCAAGAAATAAGGCTTAAAATCCTTGAATAGACTTCCATTACTTTAAGAAATGGTCTGCATCCCTACCTGCATATATGAATCATCCTAAACCCAGCCACAGGGATTTGCAAAAAGATCCTCAAATTCTAACATACAACCAGAGAACCATTGTCTCAAGACAAAGCCCCAGCACCTTTTCTTGGCATACAAGGTACTTCACCATTCCATCCTGATCTTCTACCCCTCTCCAATCACTCCTCAAAGCCTTCAACACACCCTTTAGGTTCTGAATGTTTCTCACCACCCTACCACTGTGACCGAAGCCACTATCATCTCTCATCTGAACTACTTCAAGAGAATTCTTACTGGTTTCCCTGTGTCCAATCTTCCATCTGTACAATCTAGTCTTTGCATACTAACCAAAGTGATCTTTTCAAAACAGAAGTTAGATTGTGTCACCCTCCTACACAAAACTTTCTAATGGCTTCCCATGACACACAGAGTAGAATCTATTGTCCTTAAGACGCGACATGACCTAGCCCTCAGCCATCTCTCTAGCTTCATCTCCTGCCACTCACCCTCTCATTGCGGTGCTCTAGCCCCACTGACTTTCAGCCATAGGCAGGCCTAGCTCACATAAGGTCTTTGCACTTGGTGTTCCCTCTGCCTAGAATTATCTCTTTCAGACAACCGCATGGTCTCTGCTCAAATGTCACCTCTACCATATCTTTTCTTCATAGCACTAATTACTACCAAACATTATATATTTGTTATCTGGCCATCTCATTAAACAGTAAGTTTCATCAAGGCAGGGGGTTTGCCTATGTTGCTCTGTTTTGAACAATGGCTGGTATATAATAGGTACTCAATATTCACTTTGTTGTTGAATCCTCACAATACTTTGTGTTGTGGGTACTACTGTCTCCATTTTACAGGTAAAGAAGCTGAGGCTCAAAGAGGTCACAGAATCCGCCTGCCACAGTGTATATAGGAAATAGGATTTGAACCCAAATCTGGTTGACTCTAGAGCCTAAGATTAAAATCACAATGGTAAACTCTGCTGCACTATTACATTTATGACACATTGTCAACCGGGGTTCCATCGGAATTTGAATTCTACAAAAGCTGCAGCTTGCCTTATTATCTTTGAACTCTAAGCACTAAGAGCTATATAGGGCAGATACTCAAATCTTTGTTGGATGGCTCAATCGGTGAGTAGATACAATCATCAATGTATTCTTTCCTAACTAAACTGTGTTCTAAATAATTAAGATGACCTAATAAATGACCTCCAGAAAACTAAGATACTGTTTATCACTATTTGACAGGCTAATGAAAGCAATGAAAACATTTGACAAGTTTTTTTATGCTCACTAAATTAAAGCGGCATCTCCCTGACATGCTAACAAACAACACTGAAGAAAGTAACAAGAGTCTGTAAACTGAGTCCATGTCAAGTTCATGGAAAATACCAAACCTATTTATTTCACTGTTGCCATTTAAGAAACATGTACCCATGTTCCTTATTCATTAAGCTGATACTTCATTCAATTTCCCAACAGCTCGTAACATCTTTTCTATTCTCCTTAAGCTGTGATCCTACCTATAGTCCCTCAATTTCCACTTCACTCAGCTTTTTCCCTTCACCTCATAACTATCTGACTTAGCTTTTCTTTTAGTTTTGACTCCTGTAAAGGCTAACTTCCTACTTGTGCCTTCCCCTTTCTGAGTTGTAATCACTCAATAATTTCCTTATTTGCATCTTTTATCTTCCTACCACCTTTGTGCCCAAGGTTTCTTGCCTTCTGTGTACCTTTTCTGTACTTCTTCTTGTTTTTAATAGTTCAAACTTTAAATTTGTTGGCAATGATAAAGACTCAAATACCTACATCTAGAGATAGCAAATGTCAAAATATAGTCATTTATGTTTTACATCTTTTTTAAGATACAAAATGTAAAAAAATCTTTAATTTTCATCGCTCTCTAAAATGGCAGCCTTCTTTCACCCTGTCTTTGCCCCAAACATCAATGCCATCTAATGACAGTACCTAGTCTTCTGTTTCAATTTCCTCAGCTGCAAAATGAGGATGATAATTTTACCTACTTCATGGGTTATGAGAAATAAATGAGTTAACATATATAAAGCATTCACAGGAAATAATAAAATAAACATCTCAAAAATCCAAATACCCACACCCAGAGTTAACAGAAAGTTAACATCTAACCATTTGTGCTTTAAATCTTTTTTAAGATCTAAAATGTAAAAAATGCAGATAATGCCTCCTTTACACCCTGCCCATCCCATTCCTTCTCAAGAGGATTTTGCAGCTGATGGAAAACCTCCCACCCTATGCCTTCAAACTTCTTCTATGCTAATATATGTCCATAAATTATAGTATTCTTTTGTGTTTCTTAAAAGGTCCTATACTTTATGTATCTTACTGCAGGTTTCTTTCTTCACTCAACATTAGGTTCCCAGTAATTATCCATATCCCACACACAAAACCAGACCTGGTGCACTCCTTTCAAAAGTTACCTATGGTCATTCTCTATTATTACAACTTATTTTCCCATCCCATTACTGGTAAACATATAGGTTGTTTCTAAATTTTGCTGCAATGAATCTTCTTGTCATGTCTCCTTGCCCACAGTTTCTTTCGAGTATATGCCCAAGAGTAGCAGGGCTTGGTCACAGGGTATAGGCATCTCCCACAGACATTGCTAGATTAATCTTCAAAGTGATTTATCAATTAAAAATTCACCAGCAATGTCTGCAAGTTCCCATTTCTCCACTACTTCCTGACTTTCCTGCAGGAAAGGAGGAGGTGTTTCAATGCTGACATTCAAAGATGGCGATTCTGGTCACAATCTGCCTTTCTAGCCTCCCATACTTATCTACCAAAAATGTAGATAAAAAGGACTATCTACCATTCCAGCAACAAACTTGTCTTCCCTATTATTTTTACCCAATTCTATTCAAAAGGTTCTCCCTTCTCAACTTCATTGTCAAAGATATTCAAGAGCCATTCCATATGTGTCCCCCATCTCCCAAACTTGTGGGAATTTTCCTGAATCTTACAGCAACTTGTTCCTACTATACTCAGTCTGGTATATAGGATATTTATACCATAGTTTTTGAAGTACAGTTGTTTGGGTGCCTGCTTTACCCCTTGCTACTCTTACCTATAACACACACAAAAATAAGTACTAATTTGTTAAACAAGTACTACAAAGCTAAATATTTGGTTCATGTGAAAAAAAAATGACTAAATTCATCATTTTCCTCTTCTACCTGCACTCCTTCTATAATGATTATTATGACATCCATTTAAACAGGTACATTAAAAAATCTGCTATTTCTTGGGTTTTGCAGAGGATTTTTTAAATCTTTTTTCAGTCGATCTACTTCAAAGTTTTTGTTTTCAAGCTTCCTGTGAAAAATAAAATGTATAACCATAATGTTATAAACTAAATACTGAGAAGTATATCCTCTTTAATAGAGCATGTATCTCTTAGCCTCCATGATACTTACCTGATTATAATAGACCTACTAAAAGGTAAAATGTCCAGACTTACTATACATGTAAAGGAGGCTTTTAGTCCAAATGGAAGACAATCACCAAGTGAAGAAACATGAGTAAGGCAGCACTAAAAACACCTATTTTCCTATGAAAGGCCCTTCTCCATGAATTATGGCTACTACATTTCAAGGTACTAATCTTGCTCGGGACACAATGTACCTAATTTCCTTCCCTAATTAATATGATCATTTTTGAAGCTCAGGTACATTTTCAAATCAGTACAGACAGTAACAATGGTAACAAAACTACTTTTGTTTCCTCCCTTCAACTTTAAGAATCACTAAATGGGCTCCCACATATGGGAAGAAAGGTAATTTTGTAGGGAAGGGAGAAGGAAGAGAAGGGGAGGAGGGACAAAAGTCAGACTAAGTTACATTACTGTGAACTTCTTCATCCAGTGCTTTTACTTTCCCTTTCTTCTTAATGAGCTGGATTTTGCAGGCATTAGCTTCCCAATCTTTGTCATTGCCTCCATCAACTCCCACACCTAAATCATCAAGAGGTAGAAGAGCAAGATTTAAAAACTGGCTATTAGATTTGTGAGGCAAAATTTTTCATTAAATTTTTTCTCACCTAATTAATTCATTTATCGATTCAATATTATATGTCAAGAACCATAATGGCTGCTAGTGACAAAAACGGAAATAACTCAGTTCCTCTCCTCAAATTTCTAAAAGTCTACTGACAAGACAGACAAGAAAAGAATAATCACAATACAGTGTAGTTTCAGGTTATAATAAAAGTACTACAGGTTGCGACTGGGGTACAGTGGAGAAACACAGAAGATGTGTACCCACTTCAGAAGTGACATCAAGAGGGACTGTCAAGGAATACTCTCTTGAAATTCTATTTAAGTTCCTAAGGAATTTGAAAAAGTTACCCTGAAGGTACAGCAAGCAGTTTCAAGTAGAGAAATCACATGGCAAAAAAGCTTAGAAAACTCTCTTTGGAAATAGTGTAAAGTGTAGAGGACAGACGGGAGGAGGAGAAACAGGAAGAAACCAGCTCTCAGAAGTTACAGCTACAGCAAAGCATAAAGGAAGAGGGCCTGAACTAAACAGTGATAATGCAGATAGATATGGGTGATTCTGAGAAGCAGAAATGACTGAATGTAACATGAGAAAGTGAGAAAAGTCTGGGATATCTCCTAAGGCTCAAGGACTTGTTGACCGTTGATAAAAGGAACACGGAAACGATAAAGTGGAGAGTTGGGTGGAAACCAGAGCACAGTCAGTCAATTCTCAACATGCAAAGTTTATAATATCATGATTTAACCAGGGAGAAATTTCTAGGGGGCAGTTGGAAATACAAGACGGCAATTTGGGAAATGCATCTGGATTTTAAGTCACCAACAGATAGGAGGTGGATGAATTCAGAGCTCACCCGAGAAGAAACAAAGTAAGAAAAGTGGGCCTAGCAAAATATCTTGAAGAATGTTAATATTTAAGCAACAGGGTGGAAGAAAAAGAGCCCCCAAAGCAGAGAGAAAAGAAATAATTAGTATGTAAGGAGGCAAACAAGACATGTTATCAGAGAAGCTAAGGAAGAAGAGAATTTTAAGAACAAAAGAGTTGACAAAGTGATTTTCCATTAACTAAGGAAAAGTGATGGAAGATAAATGCCCATTACAACTGTCAATGTTAAGTATACAGAAAAGCATTGACACAGGAGGCCTGTACTACGATCCTTAGAAGTACCTGCTGGCAAAGTTAGTCCTTGGTTGATATCTGGAAACTTAAATTTCAGGGGGGCTCCCACCATCCTAATTAAGAATGGCTCACTGCACCTAAACCATCGGTGCAACAGTTCTAGAGACTGAAATTTTGGCACATGTTAGACAGAGGGAGTCTGCATGCATCTGCCAATGAAAACCTTGGGCTCTGAGTCACCAATAAGCTTTCCTGAGAGACAACATTTCACACATGTTGTCACAACTTGCTGGGGGAATTAAGTGCATCATGTGCAACTCCACTGAGAAGTCTTAGAAGCTTGTGCCCCATCTCCTCCAGACTTCACCCTATGTGCCTCTTCCATCTGCTGATTTTGCTTTGTATTCTTCTGTTGTAAAAAATCGTAGTCATGAGTACAACTATATATTAAATCCTTTAGGAAGTCATCAAATCTGAGGGTGGTTGCAGGGACCCCCAATACAGTTAAAGGAAGGAACTAGAATAGAAAGTAAAGTTGACAGAAAGTTATTTTTATTTGCTTTGTCATTTATTTAAGGTAGAAGATTCTTAGGCAAGTTCATATGCCAAAAGCTTGATATTCTTGGAAGAAAAAAAGATTAATGTTAAGGAAAAAAAATATATATATATAATTTATAGAGTAAGGCCTTTAAGAACTTTGTTCTACCAACCACGAAAATGCCATAGATGATTTGTTTTTATAGTAACATTCTTAACAAAATAAGATATCTACAAGAAGCAATACAGTACATAAATGGTAATACTATCAAAATTACATGAACAAAACTTTTAAAAAGACAAAAATTCTTCAGATTTTAGATTTACCCAAAACAAAACAGACATTACTAAAGAATCTAGTCACCTAAAACAACCAAACTTCTGTTTACATTCAAGAATCATGCAAAGCCCATTGATATTTTTTTAAAAGGAAATACCAGCAGAATCATATCCTCTGTACTCCAGTCTCTGAAGGCCTTTGATTAGAGTCTCCAAGATTTCTCGTCTTGTGCGAGGGACATGGTAGTTTAAGTAAGCAAATATACCTGCAAATAAACAAATATTTAATAGAAAATTCTGTCTAAATAAAAATTAACATAATTATGACAAAGTCCTCATTTACATAATTATGTCTAATATATACAAAAATGTGAAGCTAGAGTCCATCTTTAAAAAAGAAATAAATCCTCACTTCAAATTGTCTAAAGGCAGTGAAACATTTCCAAAGGGGAATTTCGCATTTATAAAAGATTGAAGCAAATATGTCAAAATAAATGTTTATTTTTTTCAAAGCAACTGGCCCATATAATATGGTTCGTTTCCCAATCAGTGGCATCCTACATGAAATACCACATATCAAATTCCAATTCAAAAAATGCCCCTTTTTTGAGACAAGAAGCACTACTATTACCAATAATCATTACTGTCATTTTTGGTTCACTATTGGAACAAAGACGTTAGAGTATCTGTTATCATAGGGCAAGTAATAACAAGTGTTGGAGAAGACGCAGAGAAAAAGGAATCCTCACTATTGGAATAAAAAAAGGAAAAGAGGAGGAGTAGAGGAAGAAGCAATAGGAGCAATATTTCCTCTTATATAACTGGGCAGGAACTAAAAGGGAAAAAAGGGTCACACATGTAGAGAAATTTTCTAAGATCAAAGTAATAGAGCTGGGAGAAGGAAAAAGGGGATCGACCTAAGTCATGCCTGGTCAGGAAAATGGCAGATAAAGAGACTGAATCTGACAATTTTATATGCCAGCCCAAGACGGTTCAACTGCTGTAATAGCTGGAAAAGTATAACAACCAATAACCAGCTTACCAGGCATATGGAGCATGTTCACAAGAGGGGCATTCATAACTCAAAATGGTGCTTATTAGAGGAGAAATCACCATATTGATCCCCTTTCCAGGTCTTTGAGCCATTTTATCAAACCTCCCAATAAAAAGGTCTGCTTACAGTAACTACAAAAGCCTAAAAATCAACTCTCCACTGCTCTTTGGTAATTGCTCTCATACCACACAAAGCAGTGGTATAGAGTAGAGATGTCCTACTCCCAAATCAACGTATGCATTCAAAGTGTAAGTTTTCTTATTAATGGAATATACTTGGAAAAACTGAAGCAGATGCTTGTACCTATAGGCATCATTCTCAGAAAATGGCAGCTTAAATACAATGGTATGAAAGAACTTAAGAGTACCTTGCTTAACAAAATAGTCAGTTATGACCTGAATCATAGACTTGACACACCTGGGTGAAAGCAATTTAGCTATAAGTAAAGACTATTAAACCTTATTAAAATGAAAATTGAATGCAACTTAGCTGACTAATCGAATTATTAAAGTTCCTATGCCTGGTTGAATTAATGTCCAAAAAATTTTACTTACATTTTTTCACTTGACAATTTAGTATTTTCAGACCCTAGACACTGAAATTTATCAGTGTTAAGTGTTTAAGTTCATTATCTAAATATTATACTTTCTGAATCAAAACCCATCTACAATGGCACTTAAGTTTCAAAAATTTTTTCTTATAACACAAGTTAACAAATTAATTCATCATCATCATCAAATATTCAAATTACTACAGAATGAATTGTAAAAATCTCTTTCTATCTCCACACAGGGAAGATAACCACATTATTCCCACACACATTGTCTCAATCTTTAAGTTGTGAATTTTTCTACATAAATAAACCTAGATGTTATGGCTTCGGAGGGCTTTTTTCTTTAACACATAAATTTGATGACATTATATATATCATTCTGCACTTTTTTCTCTTAAGATATTGAGATTGCTCTATGACAGTACAACACATCTACATTAGTCTACTTAATGGCTGCATATAGTCGTATTTAGTCCATAATATAGTCCATAATAGTCGTATTTTACCTATTTCCCTATTAATTGAGGTTTTTCTTCTTCTTTGTAATAACAAACAATGCTGCAATTAAAGTGATACACATCAACTAAATATTTGTCATAAAACACAATCAATACTGCTAAAATTATGAAGGCCCGTTCTATAAGTAGATTCCATTAGAAGATGAAATACTGAGATAATATTTTCTACATTCCTAAAAACACAAAGTAAAAATTATATGGAGTGATACATGAGGAATTTCAATTATTTATATTTTTTAATTTTTTAAAACATTTTTCCTATTTACAAAATGCTGGTTCAATTGTCCCCTTTCTTTTAAATAGATTCTGCCACTGGAAGGAGCTCTATAACACCTTTCTTGCACGTTTAACAATCTGGAACTCAAAGCACTGTTTAAACCCTGACATTTGAAATTATATATTGCTTTGCAGTCTACCTACGTCATTATCTGTCCTGGTGATGCACTTCCTGCTCACAAACCTTCAAACACGTCATCTCTCCTACTTCCCTCTGATTAATCACATGAGACCACAATTTTTCATCATCCTCCCAAGTCAGCTCTTACTCCTTCAACCCAGAACACCCTTACAGTGAGGTCCATCCATTTTAAGACCATCTACACATTTCGGGTCCACTTTCATAATGGCCCTCTCAACCGCTGACCAATCCTGTTACTTCACAGTTTACCTAACCTTCCAACTTTCCACCAGATATTATTCTAAAATTTAGACTCTAGACTACTCTCAAATCCCCACTTACTTCTTCCCAGCTTCTTTATCATTTTTGGTAGATTTTCACTTTAGAGAAATAAAGTCTTCATCTTCATCTTAATAGTAAAATACTCTTCATAGTCTTTAAACCTTTCTTTATAAGCTCAAAATAGATAAAAATATTCTACATAACTACTCCCTGAGCCAGCCTCCCCTATTCATAACTGTTGATAAGTTATGGAGAAGAGACTGTTCCATGACCTGACTCTGTCTGTCCCACAAGCTGGACTTGGGCCAGAATGGAGGTTGCTTTTGACACTTGAACCAGAATTTTGTAAATAAGAAAAATATTTTAAACAATTAAAAAACAAACAATTGAAATTCCTCACTGTGTCATTCTACAGAATTTTTACTTTGTTTTAAGGACTGTAGAAAATGTTATCTCAATATTTCATCTTCTAATAAAATCTACCCCCTTACAGACTATCTAATTGTAATTCAAGTTCATTCTGACATAAATCAGCACCCTGCCTTGCCTCTGGCTATGTACTGGTTCTGGAACAGGTTGTTGTCCGGATCTGGTCAGTGTAATTTCTGTACCTGATAGCATTCATGTACTAATATCTGTGAATATTCCCCGACTTCTACCTTCTGGCACCTGCCAAGTGGCACAAGAATCCATTCCGGCTTGGAGCCACCCAAGATAAGACTCATATGTAATTCTATTAATTACCAGACTGGAGTGGCCAGCCTCCTTCTTCGGTTTTTCTCCTTCCTCTACTCACAGAGGTAGATTTTCAGTCTTGGGGCCTTTCCCTGGGTCAGTGTGTACTAACATAAGTGATTCCTCACCTTTGTAAATACAGAACTTTTTGTTTACATCAAAAGCCATCACTTCGAATATCTTCAAAGTTTCTAGGTCCCTGAAATGTACAGTCAAAAATTCCCAAACCACAGAAAGAAAACACTATTTGCAGGATGCTATATAAGGATGAGGTGAAAGAAAGGTTCCATAAGAAAAGGTTTAAGAAATATTGAGTTAAACAAAGTTAATAGGTTCATTGGTAGTTCTTCCTAGAACCTTTAATCTTGCTAACTGCAAATCTCCAAA